GGGGGAGTCTCCTCGGCCGCTCAGTGGGCGACGCTCGTCCTCCGTGAGACTTCTGTGAAGTCCGGACATCCCTCCCGCCTCCTCCCGGGCCCCGTCCACAGGGACCCCGCTGCAGGACATCCGGTCACCTGCGTGACCTGGCGCCCCGGCGGCCCGATAAGGGCCGCGGGCACCCGCGGGATGACTACAAATCCCGGCGTGCACTGGGCTCACGGCCGTGTCGGAAGGTCAAGGGGCTCTCGGCCCCGCCCCGGAAGATAAGGCGGCTCTCCTCCGCTGTGTCTCCTCTTCCGGCCGCGCTCGGCAGCAGGTAGGACGTGTATGCGGCGTGGCGGCCCTGGCATTATCCACCGCCATCCGCTGCCCTGGGGTCAGCTAGGGACCCCGGCGGGATTCCTGAGAGAGAGCTGGGGTGCAGGGCCAGGGATGGGGGTGGGAAAGGGTCGGGACCTGGAGGGAGGATCCTGGGGACCTGGGACCCTGAAGCTAGGGTGGTGGGGCTGCCTGGGCCGCCCGGGCGCTGACCGTAAGCCGCCTCCAGACAGCCGCCATGGGCCGCGTCATCCGTGGGCAGAGAAAGGGCGCCGGCTCGGTGTTCCGCGCGCACGTCAAGCACCGGAAGGGCGCTGCGCGTCTGCGAGCCGTGGACTTCGCTGAGCGACACGGCTACATCAAGGGCATCGTGAAGGTGCGGGGATCCCGTGCGGGCGGGTGGGGACACGGGGCGCCCCGCCGGGACCCGCCACTCATGCCACCTCGGCCCGCAGGACATCATCCACGACCCGGGCCGCGGTGCACCCCTCGCCAAGGTAGTCTTTCGGGATCCGTACCGGTTCAAGAAGCGGACGGAGCTGTTCATCGCTGCTGAGGGCATCCACACCGGCCAGTTCGTGTACTGCGGCAAGAAGGGTAAGTTTCGCGGACGCCTGGGTTGCCCGTCTCTTAAGCGTCGGATTCTTGATTTCGGTTCAGGTCTTGATCTCGGTTGGAGGCGTCGAGCTCCGCGGTGGCGCTGACGCTGACACTGTGGAGCCTCCTTGGGATTTTCTCTCTCCTCCTCTCTCTGCCCTTGACTCGCTCGCGCGCACGTTTTTGTTTTTACTTTTGTTTTTTGTTTTTTTTTCTTCTCAAATTAAAAAAAAAAAATTTTTTTTTAAAGGGGTAAGCTTTGCGTGTGGTGTGGAAGGTCGAGATGGGGAGGGGATTGGACCTGTGGTTGCTGGGAGGAGGGTTACATCGTAAGTCAGGAGGAACATCCAGGCAGAAGTCTCACCTAGTGAGAGCTGTTTGGCTAAACATACTAGAGGGGATGCCCAGAGAGCTGTGTAGGAGGAGGCTGGATGTTGTGGGCTGTGCTGGCCTTCTTGGGGACTTGGGTTTGCATTGCTTCTGATGAGCAGTAGTTAAGGGGGACCACTTTGCTGTACTGACCTATGGTGCTTCTTGCAGCCCAGCTCAACATAGGCAATGTGCTCCCGGTGGGCACTATGCCTGAGGGCACTATTGTGTGTTGTCTGGAGGAGAAGCCTGGTGACCGGGGCAAGTTGGCCCGAGCCTCCGGAAACTACGCCACTGTCATCTCCCACAATCCAGAGACCAAGAAGACTCGAGTGAAGCTGCCTTCCGGCTCAAAGAAAGTAATTTCTTCAGCCAACAGAGCTGTGGTTGGTGAGTGGCAGGCAGCAGTTGAACACTGTGCCTGTGAAGTCAACAGCTAGAGCTGGGCTTTGGGACTTGTTGGTCAGACTTGTCTGTAGTGTGGCCTAATCTGCCCTTCCGTGATTCCTGCTGTCACGTCCATGTAGTTAAGAGCTTTTTCAGGGATGTGTAACTTTTTTTAAGCTACTAGGAAATGCTTTAAGGAAGATTTGAGCCCTGGCTCACTTTGCTATTTGGGCAACATCTTTTTATTCTTGTGGCAAACTCAAGGGATGCTGTTGAGTGTATGTTTACTACGAAGTAAGCAAAATTGGCCAAGATGTGTGTGTCAGGCTGGGTTAGCCATCCTGTTGGTGTTTGGAGGTTAGATCGAGTGATCCACTCCGACACAGCAAAGTGGGAGCTTCCCTGGAGAATCATGGGTTGAGGTCGACATTACAGATGACGTGGGGAAAGGCTTGGCTTGGCTGCCTGAGAAATCCAGAAAAATTTAATGTTGGCTACTGGGTTGCGAAGGGTCTTAATGCTCAGTGGTAGTTTTGGGGTGTTAATGAAATTTTGGGAACTGTGTGATGGTGTAGGACTGTCGTGAGAGGGTGGTTGGTGTGGGGGTGGGGTACTGGCAAGGATGCTTAGAGCCTGATAGGGTCCTGAAGTTCTGGGAGGGTATGGTGCACCTCCCTCAGGTGCCTGATCTCCCCAACAGGTGTGGTGGCTGGAGGTGGCCGCATTGACAAGCCCATTCTGAAGGCTGGGCGTGCTTACCACAAATATAAGGCAAAGAGGAATTGTTGGCCACGTGTGCGTGGTGTGGCCATGAATGTAAGTAACCCAGAAATCGGGCAGTTGGGGTGTTGAGGGATTTGGGGGCTGGGAGGCTGGATGGACAGGTGCTTTCCTGGAGTGTCTCCTCTCTGTGGTAGAGGGTACGTAACGTGAGCCTTTTTTGTGTTACGGTTTGTTGGCACGTGTCAGTTGATCCTGCTCTTACCCAAGTCCTGAGGTAGATGGGGTCCACATCCCTATGTTAATACCACTTTTTTCTGCTTGCAGCCTGTGGAGCATCCTTTTGGAGGTGGCAACCACCAGCACATTGGCAAACCCTCTACTATCCGCAGAGATGCTCCTGCTGGCCGCAAAGTGGGTCTTATTGCTGCCCGCCGGACCGGGCGTCTGCGGGGAACCAAGACTGTGCAGGAGAAAGAAAACTAGGGACGAGGAGCTCAATAAAATCTGTCCTTTTGCCACTAAGCTGTGCTTGCTTGTGGTTTCAGAGGGAAGGGTCTTTGCCGGGAGGACCTCCATGGAGCTCTTTGTGTAAGGAGAAGGAAGATGAAGTTAGATGCACCAGTGAACAGTGAAAGCTCTGGAAAGAAGAGGTGGGGTGCTAGGGATCTTCACACCTTGATTCCTGGAAACTACTGTGCCGTGCAGTACACAGAGCAGAGAATTCTGCCCACATCTGTGTTAACTTCTCTCGAGTGCTTGGAGGATCTAAGTCAGGGTATGGATCCTTTGGGGTGAGAGTGGTGCTCCTGAAGCTGCAGGCTGGAGAGCCAGGAAGCCATCCTACAGTGGGAAGCCAGGACCAGGGTAGGTTAGTTTCTCAGGACAAATGGGCTCCCTGTTTGGCTCATGGTACCTTGTCCCAAACTTTTGACAGTTCATCAAAGGTGGGAGATCCAAGGCAGATCATGCTGAGCCAGTCTGGCGCAGAGATGGTAATGGCAGCCTCAGAACCGGGACACTTGCTTCCCAGAGCTCCCTGCCCCAGTAGTTCCCTTTGTGAACCTGTGTAAAAAGCAGGGGCTGCAGCCCTCTATAAGTGATACCTTGAAGCAGGAAGGCTGGGGGCAGAGAGGTTGGTGGCTGGTTGAGGTAGAACACTCGTTGTACAGACCACAGGCAGGAAGGCAAGGGACTGAGAGTTCCTGGGGACCATCTCCCAGAGTGCATCAGAACCAGTCACCTCAGGGTTGTTTCGAGAGGCTGTGTGCAGTCAGGCGTCTCCCACCAGAGAGCAGACCTTTTGGTTGTTGCCAGGTGGGTTCTTGGTGGGGTCTGCACTTGTCTCTAGCATGAACCTTGCCCACAGGTCTTGCTTTCCCGGTCTCCACTGGCCTCTTGACCACCCACCACACCTAGGCAGTGAACCTAGCAGGGCTAGGCCTTGGTAATGGGTAGAACATACAGGAGGCTGGGGTTTTCTCTTTAACGAAAGAGGGCTAGGCTTGGTCACCTGATCTGTAGAATAACCTGCCTGCCACTGCTTTCCCCTTCTGGATAAAGTGGTCTGGATCCTTAGCCAAGAAGTGGCCCCAGGGAGGCTTTGTTCTACTCGCAATCACCCGGGAACCCCTTACCCCAGTTAGAGTGGACGCAGCTTGCGTTCAGTGTGCTGAACTAAAGGGGCTCTAACCAATAAGCATCTTTCTTGGTCATCACATGGCTTCTCTGCCATTCTCGGAAAAGGAAAGGACCTGTTCTTTTGTTGATGGCAGTGCCTTGAGGAATTACTAGAGAGCTTTCCCCTGAAAATTGCTGTAGTTTATTAATCTTCGAAATGGGTTCCTAAGTCTCCCCTTGCCTCGGATCTGAAGCTTCGGGGTCATGGTTCCAGGCTGCCACCCAGTGGCAGCGCTCCCGGCTTCCGGCACGGAGTTTACAGTTCCTTAGGGAGACTAACTACAGAGACGAGGAGTCCGTTTCCCAGAGCGGCCCCAGGGTACCTCCGGTTTCGGACGCGGGGTGGGGAGGTCACTTCCGGTTGGGTTGCCGTGCTGCAGCGGGTGGGGCTATTGGGGCCTGGCCCGGCGGCGGCTCCTCTGCGGTGCTGAGGTGAGTGTGGCTGGGTGGGGGCGGCGGTGACCGCGAGGTCTCCCGGGCGCGGGGTGCCAGCCCTTCCCTGTAGCAACGCGATGCTCGGGCCGGGGCCCACCCCGCTGTCGACAACCTCTCCCGCCCGGCGTCCCTCGGGCAGGCTCCCTCCCCACTTTCGGAGTCCTCACGAAAAGCCCTGTTCCTGCTCCGGCGTTTTCCGATGGGTCCCAAACCCCGACTGGTGTCCTCCCCAAACCTGGCGTCCCGCTCTCCCATCGCCCTGGCCGGGAGTCCTTCCTTGCCGGGCCCCTGCCCCGCCCGAGACTCCCCTTCCCGGGTTTTATGACTCCGGGAGCCTCGGCGTCTCTCCACCGCATTCCTCTTCCCAGGTCGCCCTAGAGGGCTGTGTCCCGGGATGCCCGGGACCCTCATGGCCTGGTGACTCGAGGCC